ATGTTTTCAAGTTACATAGTTGTGTGTCAAGGAAACGAAGTCTCACACATCAGCAATTAGCATTGGCTTTGGGACCAAATACAAAAAAGAAGCTTCGGTAATTCCTCTTGTCAAGTGACGTGATCCATTTTAGAATTCATGACATGAACCAGGATATCTTACTGCAAGTTATAAGTGATATAAAACATAGTCCTCTAAGAGTGGGTCTTCCAGCTTGACAAATCAACTGACACTGTTAGCTACAGTCAGCTGTTGGTGTTAGGCACATAAAGAAGAAATAAAATTTAGAAGAATTCTTATTCTCTGAAACATTGCAATTAATGATTAAAGGAATCAATGTGTTTGGTCTTTTCATAGGCTTCTTCCTGAGGCATAATATAACACTGGAAGTCTGTGGATCAATTTTCACTGCTGGTACCCTCGCCATGGTAGGAAAAATTCAGGATTTGTGCCTAAGTAAAGAAAAAAATGCCTCATAATAAGATTAAACACACTGTACGTTGCATTGTCATGAATTTGTCAAAAAGACTTTGCCTAAAATACTGAAGGATATTTTGTCTTCTATGGTGAGCATAGTAAACTTCACCAGAGGACATGCTCTGAACCATCATATTTTTTGTGCTTTTTGCAAAGAAACTGGTGCTGTACACACTGTTCTTTTCCACAATGAGGTGAAGTTGCTCTGCATGCTTATGCATGTTTTTAAAATGCACAAAGAAATATATCAGTTTCTTTGCAACCAAGGAAGTAACTTGGTGAAAGGCTTCAAAAACAGAGCACACATGGCAGATGTAATTACAATCTGTGCAAGGAGCTGGGCTGAACATGATAGAGGCCAGAGACAAGTTATCTGCATTTATCCAGAAATGTACAGTTAGAATAAAGAATGGTGAGACAAGAAATTTCATTAACTTTCCTTTGCTTGAAGAAAAAGTTGTTTCAGAAAATGAAGGCATGATCATCGCAACTTAAGTGACAAGGCATTTACAAGAGCTGAGTGACTCTTAATGAGGACATTTTCCACTGGACATCTTGATGTAGCTAGGAAATGGAAACTGGATCCTCTTCTTTTTAACCTAAATTCCACATACGGTGACTTGATGAAATGATGGTCTCATTGGATTATGAGCCAGTGAACAAACCAGAATGGAGTTTGAGATAATGAAGCTTGAATATTTTTGTTGCATTCCTCTAGAACCACTTCCACAACTGTTGGACAGTGCTGGAGAACCTGTGTCAACATTACTGTGTGAAGTAAGATTTCCATCACTTTTACACATTTAACCAAAGACTAGAAACCATTTAAATGTGAGTGGTGACTCAAGTGTGGCTATTTGAAGAAAAATTCATTTCTCAAACATAAATCAGAAAAAAAAAGCAACAGCATAAGAGCCACTGAGATGGTAAATTAATACAAGTTTGCATTTTTCATGTATTCATAATTTTACTGTGAGATTAAAATAAATAAATAATTCTGAAAAATATGTTTAATTTTCATGTATTCTAAATTTTACTGTGAAAATAATATATATATATAATTGTATAGTTAAACAACTGATCTAAATCAATAACTTTCGATAATGGGACTGGCAGGCTGCAGTAAAGGTTAAGAAGCATTGATTTAGACACTGAAAATACTGTGCCTGGAATTCAAGAGTGTGAAACTGGTAGAAATTCAGTGGATTCAATTTCTGTATTGTTAGTGGTGGAGGGCAGACCTGTAGAGAAATTTCANACAAGTTTGCATTTTTCATGTATTCATAATTTTACTGTGAGATTAAAATAAATAAATAATTCTGAAAAATATGTTTAATTTTCATGTATTCTAAATTTTACTGTGAAAATAATATATTGTGACATGTTGCGCTAAGGAGAACCACCCCCCACCAGCAGTGACGCGGCGGGTGAGTCAGCGCTCCCCTCCCCCTTCTCCGCACGGTAACGAAGCCCGCCCCGCCTGGTCCTCCGCGGTGACATCACGCGGTGACGCGGAACTGCTTCCTACTGTGACGTGGAACGTAACAGGCAATCCTGCGGCTATATAAGTAAGCTGCAGTGCCGGTACGAGGACAGTTCTAATGTGGGACCAAANATTTGAAGAAAAATTCATTTCTCAAACATAAATCAGAAAAAAAAAGCAACAGCATAAGAGCCACTGAGATGGTAAATTAATACAAGTTTGCATTTTTCATGTATTCATAATTTTACTGTGAGATTAAAATAAATAAATAATTCTGAAAAATATGTTTAATTTTCATGTATTCTAAATTTTACTGTGAAAATAATATATATATATATATAATTGTATAGTTAAACAACTGATCTAAATCAATAACTTTCGATAATGGGACTGGCAGGCTGCAGTAAAGGTTAAGAAGCATTGATTTAGACACTGAAAATACTGTGCCTGGAATTCAAGAGTGTGAAACTGGTAGAAATTCAGTGGATTCAATTTCTGTATTGGCAGTGGTGGAGGGCAGACCTGTAGAGAAATTTCAACATTTGTCACAAACAACTAAGAAGAATAGAGTCTGATCATAGAGCATGAATATTCAATGCAAAGAGTACTGAACATATCTTGGAAAGGAATCTATATTTGGCCATTTTTTTACATACATGTAACAGTCACACACACACAAAACAAACAAATGCATGCACAAACACATGCACACATACAAACACACATGAACAAATACATTCTCTCTCTCTGGTGTTTCTCAACCCTTCCCATGTAGTCACATATTAAAATATGGTTCAGTATCTCTCAGCAAACATCATAAAGTTGAGAGTAAAAGTTTGCAGAAATATGACACATAAAAAATTATGACTTTAGCAACATTTTAGGAACAATATATGATGAATATGAGAGACAAAAACAAATACAAAAAAGCTGCTTAATGTTTGTGCTCATAGATGATTTACTTACTCTCAGTGTCTGACAGTTAATGTGAATCATCAGCCTCAATGTGTCACTGAATAACACATGCGCACACTTCACTAACTCCATGAACTTAGTCAAGATCACATTTCCCACAAGATTCTCACAACAGGCACAATAAAAGAAAGGAAAATGCCAACTCACACTTAAGTTCTTTGCAGACAGGATAAAGCCACACAGGCAAGTCCCTAAAGAAAAGTGCCAAAATTCCAAGGCTGGCTTCTGTCCCAGGGACTGCTTTGAGTCTTACCACACTGAAATGAATTATTGGGACCAGTCTTACAGAGCAAATATTGCTGCAACACTTGGATATGTGGAAGTGTGGAAGTGCAATTATTCAGTTGTTGAAGAAATACATTTATTTGCATAAGAGTTCTTAAATAATTAGTTTGTACCAATGAGAATGTTGCAAATAAATATAAGTACCAATTTTCTTTTTTGTATGAAAGTGTGAAAATTTCATGTTTATATCATAAAGACTAACTACAAACAGAGTTACTATTTCTTCTTCCAAAAACCTTTAAAACTGCTGGCACAGGGCAAGGATGGTATGTTAGTGGCTCTGTGGTCAGGGTGTTAACACTTCATGTTATAATGAAACTTTTTCTAATCTGTAACAGGAAACATATGAAGAGACTTGGCCAAGGATATTGGCATGGCAATAATTCTCTATACTCATACATAGGTAGTAATCAGTTCAAATCTCAGTCAAACATTAGCTATTTTGATTGAAGCTTTTCGTAAATTTCTTTAGTCCCCCAGTCAAATTCTGGGATAGTATCTTGAGTACACTAAGAACACTTCCTTCCAAATCCTTTCCAATTCATCATCCACCAATCATTCCACAATTTTACACTGGAGTATGCAGTCCTAGACTGAGGGGATGGAAAAGTAACACACAAAAAGAAATAAAATAAAATATCATTGTGGAGCAGTGTAGCGCATAACATACGTCAAGAATATTAGAATTACCAAGTCAGGAACATTTAAAAGTGAAACAGCAAGTGAAAAGCAATGTCTCACTTTGAATTTTTGGGATTTTCAACTTTATCTCACTTGTGTTACCAAACTTCTGTAAGGAGCGTTAAATCAGAACTGAACTTGAAATGTTGAAGCATACATTTCATAGTGCATCTATAATAATTTTCAACCTACTGGGTAGTTCTCAAAAGAATGTTTTTCAGCCATGAAACCTGAGTCAATTCTGGAAACTGCTGATATTCATACAGAGACACCATTAACTCCATTATAGTCACAATTTATGTTGAATAATTACTGTTGTAATAAATTGGGGGGGGGGGGGANCCATGCAATCCTCAATGGTACTTTGCTCACATAAACAATTTGTCTCCTAACAAGTTCTTTTGTACATACATACTAAAAAATTTCAGGCATGGGAAGAGAAGATAAATATATTAATACTAATTCTGGGGGTGCAATATGTACACTTATATATATGTTTGGCAATAAGGAAATTTACCAAAAAAGGGCATATAAAGTCTTAAAAGAAATAAAAAATATGTTCATATTTTCCTACATAAAAAGGACAATGTTTGAGATGAGAGATGGATTCTTAAAATAAAGAATAATGTTTTGTTCAAACTTCATTTAAGCACTGAACTACATCTGAAATGCACACTGCAGCTATACAGTAATGAAAGTGACTCTGTAAAAGATACTGCACATGTTACACTTATCAGCTCAATTACAGATACAAGCACTAAGAGGAATATGTAATACAAATACAAAGTTCACTGAGTTAGAAAAGAAATAAATACAATGGTCTGACCATATAAAAAGTCTGGGTACGAACAGAATACCGAGAAGGGTATTAGAAATAAAATTTAAAGGAGAGAGACCCACAGGATTATTCAGAATAAGATGGTTCTGCAAGACAGTACAAGGTACTAAGAGGAACAAGCTGGGAATAAAATGAAGAGGAAAGAATGTGGTAATAAAGAAGAAATAGGAAACTTCCACCTGTATAAAATGGAAATGATACTAGAATAAGAATGAAAACAATGTTGGGGAACACGCCATTGAGGCTGATGTAACTCAGTGTGTGCAGTGGCCCTTCTGTAGCCTTTATATGTCAGATGTAGTTTAGGTCACCAGAAGAGTAACTAAGTTATTCAGCTACTAGTGACCCTTTCATGCAAACATCGCAATGTCCCATATACCTGGTGAACATCAACAAAATATCACATTTAATACACACAGATGTAACATGCAGACTGCAGCTCGAATTGCCTTTGATGAGACACAATTAGTTAAACATCAGTCGGTAACGAATATCTTCACTCCCGAGCACTCTTGAAATTACTGGCCTCGTCTACTGTTACTGAGAACCCTCTCTCTACTATCCTCCCTGTTCAAACTGTTCATGTGAGGAGGTGAGTTCCCGTTGCTTGAGATTCTGGATTTGCGGCTACGTTTGAATTTTGCCATGTCCTCGCCAAACACATCCCCTGTGCGCAGGGCTGATATAAGGTCATCAAATTCTCCCTTCGCATCACCACTGCTCTCACGTCCTCCAGCTGACAGTCCGTTCGTTAAACCATTCTTAAGGCTGTTCCCAACTTTGGCAAGAATCCCATCCCTGCTGTTCTTCCGCTCCATTGTCCGCTTCTTCAGCTGTGTATATAAAAAGAAACATGAATCTTTAAAAGAAACACTGGAACTTAAGACATGAATATTAGAAGACAGCCAAGCACATCCATCTGTACAACCTTCAACTGCCATGTCACTCTTTTTGCTGACTTTGCAGATTAAGTAACATAAAGCCCAAACCACACCCAGCATCTCCACATCTTCACATCACCTATTTTCAGCTATTTCATGGCTGTCCAATTTCAAACAGCTGAGGAACAACACTGTGTTTTTGGCATGTACCTGCAGACTGCATAATAAGAGATATATTTCTTCCAATACACTGATACAAATATTTGTACTGATCACACTATGAAACACAAGCCCATGAAAAATAATTGGAGAGATAAGATTTAAAACATTTATTTACAGTAAAGTGTTACCATGTGAACAACACTGAAAAATCTGTAGTTAAAGGTACTTTTCCAAGTTACTGATTGGTGTTGCATAAAATCAACTGAAAAATTATGGAGTCTATTTAAAAGCACTTTTCGTATGTTCCTCTGCAATCACTTCTGGCTTTCTTAAAGAGGAAGAAAGCATTAACACATATTTTGGGTAGTTTGGGGGGCTACTCTCATGGGATTTACAAAACCAATTGGCAAACTGCCAGCAGAATACCTCCAGTCTATATTATCAAATGATTGGGTGGATAACATTGCTACTTTCTATCCAAGGGGTCCCAGGTTCAAATCTTGGCCTACAGACCAGTTATCCTCTCTGAGATTGTTTCCCAGATGATGTTCCACGGAACCCTAGGATTCTGCAAAATGAAAATAGAAGTTCCACAGGAAAAATCCACTACAGTATATTATTTCTTTATTGCTAGTGGAGTGGGACTAAGTCCCTTGTACTGTGGCCACTTCTGGCCTATTGTACCAGCCCCAGATGATAGGTGAGGGTGATTGTGGAGCAATTGGTGGAATGAAGATTGGCAGGGGAAACCGAAGTACTTGGAGAAAACCCGCCCCAGCGCCACTTTGTCCACCACAAATCCCACTTGACGAGACCCGAGATCGAACACGGGCCACCACGGTGGGAAGTCAGCGACTAACTGCTTGAGCTATGGTGTAGCCCCACTATAGTATAAGAAAATAATTATTTATATATTACTACTGTGAGCTTCACTTAAAAATAATTTTCATTTTTGAGCATACAGTTCTGTGAAACTGGATTCTTGAATTATGCAACAACAAAGACAAAATTTAGAAACAGGCTAAATATGGTGCCAGACTTGAGAATTCAACTTTCTATCAAGCCAAACAAAAATAATGTACAACGAAAAAAATAAAAACCACTGTTGGTATTCAAGATTGCAATACATGTGTCTTATTAGTTTTTAAGCTTCAAATATGTGCAATTACAGAACATGTTCATCTCACCTCCTTGCTTAATGTTTATTATTATTATTCTTACTTATTTGTGGTCTAGTCTTTTATTAAGGGTTCCATAAAAATTTTCTGTGTCAGAAGGTCCCCTGCCCAAACTGGAATGGGAAACACTACTGCAGGCAAATCCTGTGGATGTATACCATAACAGACATAAATCATTTCCTTTCACACCCATAAAAGTAAAAAAAAGTAAAGCTATCCCTGTACCAGGCCATGAAGGCCCATGGGGTTGTGAGACCTTGAGGGTCCCACATTATCCAGACAATCAGCTCAAAGATGGTGGTAGGTTGTCAGCCTTACGTGACGGCTGCACTTTACTCCCCAGGAAAATTATTTACTTAATTCCTGGTACTCATTTCTGTTAGAGGATGAGTCGACCCCAGGGCCATACTGCGGCCGGAAGGATTAGGTCAACTGAAAAATATCAAATGACCTCATCGGGACTTGAACCCGTGACCTTCCGGCTTGTAGTATAGTGCTTCAACCAACTCATACTAATTCATTATTCACTGTTCATTCTAATGTGATAAGATTTGAAGTTCTCACTGCAATTACTATGCAGAGTACTGCTTTCTGGTATATGAAGCCAAGTAGTCTGGTACATCTGCTGAACTCCACAGTTTCACATCCTAGGAGATAAAACGATCCTGCTGCTGATGTTACATACTCTGAGCTATTGGACAGCATCATAAAACGTGCTGGAGACACATAAGTAAATGAACAGATATAGACACGCCACAGTCTCTCCCAAAAACACAGATGTAACAAAAAATACCAGGGGTATTTATTTTTCTTTTTTTTTCTTTCTTTCTTTCTAGTTTTACTAGAAAACTGTACAGATCCTGTTCAAATGATTTACACACTTGTAAAAAAACTATGAATATGAAACACTACATACAACCAGCAAAGAAACTGAATTCTAATGACACAAAACTGCTGACTCATGTAACATACACAACACAGCGGTGCTACACAGAGATGTCTGTCCAGCCGTGTTAACTGTTCCCACCTTGCATGATGGGCCCTGGATTCAGATACATTTCTGCAACCCTTTCCTACCTTCACAGCATTCTTGCCATTCTCACATATAGGGACCTACTGCCATTGGTGGTGTATATGAGGTGAAGAAACTGCCAACATTTATGTTACCAGTACTTTAAAGATTTACTGCTATGAGGTTCCAAAAAGATGTGTTAAAACTTTTTGTGCAACTGCATGCTGTTTGTGCTTACCTTTCAAAATTTGAGATTACTGGTCACACAAACTTATGTTAAAAATGTTCTTGCTTTTAAATATCTAAATTACAAACTACATATTTCAACTATAAACAGCCATCACCAGGTTTACAGAAACCAGTCATGAAGTCTATACTGTAAGTGCAAATCTGTTAAACCAAAGAAATATAAGAATATGGAGAAAACAGAATATTAGGATGAACCTGACTTAATTTTATATGCCTGTATGTAGGACCTTGACAGCACTTGTCCCAGTACACAAATCTAGATCAAAGCTACTTATACAGTCTTTCTTGAAGAGCTACATCCAGCTAACCTGACTGAAAGAACACACAAGCTGAAGCAGAATGTACTTTAAGACTTCAAGAGAGACCATTACCTAGCAATACGGTGAACTGTCTTTGATACTATCTTCTATGTCTATGACTGCAGCTGCAAATGTCTCACTGTAATGCACAACAGTTGTCTTTTATGTTTCTGTTTCTCTAAGATATTCAGAATTATTTGTGTTCTCATTTACAGTGCTGAGGGAGGTGGTGAAATATACTGTTCAAAAGGTTTTTCTGTGGGATATTTATAAGAAAAATAAATCACATAAATCATTTAAAGAAGTTCTGCCCTAAATATTCTGTTATTCAAGTCCCAGCTTCTCCTTGACCTGAAACTTCCATTTTTTTCCTGATCAAGTTTGGTTCCAGTTCAGTGAACATATCAATGACCAGACGAACAGACACTGAAGCAGTATTCATCTGAGACAGACTTCTGACACACCCCTCATGGTCAGAAGATTGGTGTGTGGCATGCCATTACTGTTACATGAATAGCAGGGCCTATATTTCTTTAACAGATTATTAATTCTCAGTAGAATGTCAAGTGATATTCATCGGACATCTTTATGGATCAAGAAATTATACAATTATGAAAGATAATGCTACATAATACACTGCTAATTTTTCCATTAATGTTGGAAACCATGTATTTGAAGATGTTGCAGATCATGGCCTGAAAGGTCTCCAGACTTAAATCCTTGTGATTTTAATCTGTGGGGGAACCCCCCCCACCCCAAAAAAAAAAGAAACACAAAACAAAGGGTATTCAGATAATCCCACCATAGTGGAAGAAAGTACACACAACCTCTGTGAAACAATTACATCTCTCAATATCAGTGAAGTCAAAGTAGTTTAAAACAATCTTTCAAAGATGCTAAAAGAAGTGTTCCTGATCTGCTTTAATGTACTATCAAGGCATTTTCCTGAAAGGACTGAGGACAATCACAAGCAGCTAGTCAAGATATCCTGCCATCCAACTGAAGCAGTAACATTTGCTGCTACAGAAGATGATCTGCAATGAACCTATTTCCTCAGTGTTAGTCATTTGTGTTTAAAATTAACGAGATTTCAGTGCAACACCTCAGTATAGCTTTAACATCTTGCCAAAATTGTTTGCATAACATTTCAGAACTAATTTCACTGATGATAACATAAGATATCGTCATGTCTGTACATAATTCTGTTATGTAGTAACAACCCAAGTGTCTAATGCACTGTCACAATGTACTGCCAGACAAAAGCACTTTTGAGAAACAAAAGTATTCATTCAAAGAGATCCTCATTTATCATCTGATAGGCTGGTGAGTGCACTTCCCTTCTATTCCATCCTGGCACGTTAAGCATATCATGAAGACAAGGATATAAATGAGACTTAAGACTTACTTCTGCTTCCTGGACAGCTCTCTTTTCCTCTTCTTCTCGGCGACGTTTCATGTTCTCATTGTCTTGGCGAGCCTCGATGAATGCTGTGAGGAATGCATCAAATATTCCATAGAAATCATCTGGCTGAATTGTCGAGTTATCCTCACCAAACAGTCTTACAGCTCGATCAAACTGAAAGAATTCAACAGATAAAACAGTTTTACAGCTTCATCAAAATGGATCAATTCAACGGAACAACCAGTTTTACATCTCAGTCAAAGTAAAAGAAGTAAATGGATGGCACAGTACTAGAGCTTCCACAAATGGACCCAGAAGCTTTACAGGTTCATTAAATTGAAATAGATGAATGGATGGAATGGATTTGCAGTTCAATCAAACTGAAACAGTCCATAAGATCCCATTTCTCACCAAAGTAAAAAATTTCTGGAGCTTCACCTTCATCCACACTACCTGTGAGTATCACACACAGGCAGAATTTTTGTCATGTAAGCTTTGAGTTTCTCATGGCAGTGAATGTTAACACTTAGGGGCATGATGCCATGTAGTCTGGTAGATGGTTACCAGCATTTCCTAGGAAGCATTCTATCAGACTACTTACCACACTACACAACATCACACTGCAAAATTGTGATCTGCATTAACAAACACACAATACAGACGTTGGGGCTCTTGATTTCAATAGAATATTTCCATTATCAATCTTGACCAGGAGGCTAACTACAGTCACAGAGTTCTCATGTCATTTTAGGATAACTGGAATTAATATGGCCCACACTGATGATTTCATTAGTCTCTGACAACCACGCTAAGAAGCAGACAGAGCAAACTGACCCTGGTTTTCATGTCCTGGAAAAGGTCCTCCAGTTCTGAGAAGCGGCAAGTTGCTGAGGAGAGAAATTCCTTCATGACAGGCAGGAACCGGTCTCCAGTAGCTACGGGCTGTGACCGGTGGAACTCGATCTCCCGCTCAACCTCTTTCAGGCCATTGCGCAGGAAGCCCATGTCCTTCTCCAACTCCCCCATGCTTCATGCACAAACCACATCCATAAACATTACTTCATAACCTTTGCGCTACAAGTATTATCTTGACATCGCATAACTACAAGAACAACTGCTAAACTGCCTTTTAAATAAGAAGTGGTATAGGCACTGGTTAAATAATTTGTTCTCCATTGACAAGTGGAATTAAACAAGAAAAATAGGTATATGAAAAAAAATTATAAACAATGAACGTAATATGAGACACTGACCAACAGCTTGCCTAATGTGTTAACCGTTAGCTATACCATTTAAATTCACTACCAGCCCTTATAACCTAATCCTTCAAAGCCTACAATTCACCAGGATAATATTTAAAAATTCAGTTCCTTCCTGATAGAAAAATATTTCATTTCTGTTACAAAGACCAAGCACTTAATGCTGATTACTGAAATAATCACTGTTTATTCTGAAAATCATACAAAATACATAAATACAATGTGAAGTAAAAATGCACAGTTCTTCAATGTCAAAGAAGTTTGTACATATAGTCAACACGGTGATTTTAAGGGTGAGATGTACTATGCTCACTATGTTTCGGTAAATTAATTGTGGCAGATGATACTAAAGTTCTTCTACATTATATGCTTGAAAGGCTTAGGCAGGATGTATGCTTCTATCAGCACACATGTCCATGACCGTGACTGGTAAACAGTCTAAATGCAAGTTTCTAATCAAGCCACAGATCCAGACCTTTCTGTTAAAATTACTCATTATCTGTGAGCAGAGGGAAGATCCTTCAAACACATGGTCATATCATGCTTTCTTATTTCTATGTTTTGGCATTTGCCTGGAGGGACTGAGGAAAATCATGAGAACGACAGTCAGGATGGCAGGTGTCCTGCCTGAGATTCAAACTGAGGTGGTTCCAAATAGATATCCAATCTATTGCTCTTTTTAATAAGCTGTCAGTATCTAGACTGCACAGTGTTGAATGGCAGGCTGACAAACCAAAAGGAATTTGGAAGGAAGTGGCAGTGATCAATTTGTGGTATCAGCCTGCCATTTGGCTTGAGGGACTGAGGAAAACCACAAAAGACCTTGTGGGATGTTGAACCTGGTGGTACGGAGTGACAAGCATGTCAAACTATAACAAATATTTATCGCTGTTAACAAAATATACATATGAGCAGGGAAGCCGAGCATGCCTGGTGAATGACAGGCGAAGTTCCTGCTGTAATGGCCTAGCCTTTATTTCAAAGCATGTCCTTTAGAAAAGAGGTATGTTACTCATATATAGGCTATTTCATTTTAAATTAATTTATTCCATGCTCAGAAAAAGCTGTGTATTCAGTTTTACTGGCCTTTGGTAATGTACTGAACATACCTCATGTACTCAGCGGCCTCCGTAGTCTAGAGGTAACGTTCCCACCTCATGACTCGTAGTACGCGGGTTCAAATACCCGGCGGAGGTCGTCGAATTTTTAAGGGCAGAAAAATTCAGGGAACAAGTCCTCCGGGAGGGACTTTAAGCCGTGGGTCCCGTGTCGTAGCTTTAGGGCATGTAAAAGAACCTCATACCTCCAAAGGAGGTCACTGAGCAAAATTGCGGACGTTTGCCGCCCAACAGCAGTCACTAATACCTCCGGTAGATGGGCGAAGCATTATAGATACTTCTCAGCCAGTAGAGCCGGTCTCGCTGGCTGGGCGGGACTGATGGTAAGCACCAATACCGGTAGGATATAGAGGCTGGTAGAAATCATAGAGGGAAGCACAATGGACCACTATAGGTCTAAGTGCATGGGGAAACCCACCCTCTCTAATAACTAACTAACTAACTAACTAACTAACTAACTAACTACCTCATGTACTCCGTGCGGAGCTTCAAAACCCTCCCGGGGGTACATCTATCCAGCTGCCTTTCTGAAAGCATGGTTTACTAATCACTGGGGGTGGGGTTCACAGCTAAGCAAGTGCCACACAACTAATTCCTTGGCAGTTCTCATGTATCGATAGGCTACACAGACTCTTTGGTCACACAGCTGGAAGTTCTCCATAAATACTAATATAAAGAAACAGACATTCTACTTACTTAACTTTTGCAGCTTCCCTCACATGAGGAATGTCTTCTTCAAGCTTCAGAACATCCCTGAACTGAAATAAAACAATTACTCAAATCAACATCAATAATCAATGCTAAAAGGATGCATGTACAGGTATATCCTGCTCATGTTTCTATACCCAGTTCACATTTCTCAAACCAGTATATATAAATTACATAAATCCTATTAGAAGTGATACATTCACTGTTTCATGCAATAATTTACCATTCCTGTATTAAATGAATATATTTTCTGACACCAACCAAAGTCCACTGTAAATAATGTGCCTATTATTTTCCCATCTTTTGTGAACTTTAATTCAACAAATAACATCATTTAGAGTATGAAACTTCGACTAACCATAAGATTCAGACACTACTTCTATCTTGGTTTGAGTAACAGCAAAAAAAGTGAAGTGTTGGCACTACTGCTCAATAACTATAGAATACTCAGCTGCTCATTTTTAGTGCACGTAATCAACATATGGAATGCACTGTCCTACAGGCAGCTGGGGGCTGAGTGACATAAGTGACTAAGCAACTGATCTGTACCTTCTTCTCCAAGATCTCAACCAGATAATGCAGCAAGGTGGTGCCCTTAACCGCACTGGACTTGGTGTCTGCGAGACGATTCAGCGATGTGAGCCTGAAGCCAGATGCATTACCTCGAGCTCCCCTGTTCATGTAATTACCCAGTGCCAGAACCAACTCCAGCAGCCGACGCAGTCGACGTGAACGTGCCACTTCCCGTGACGCTTCCATCACAGACTTGATGCGGGGCTGGACTTCCCCAATCCACACATTAAACCTCTTTTTGTAATGAAGGCTCCGCAGTCTCTGTTCATAGTGTGGAATCCTAGCAAAAGGGACACTTAGTTCAGGTGATTAACAAATGAAATGTAACGGAAATAGCATGAAGGGAGAAATCAGGAGAGAGACTACACGAAATAAAAAAATTAGGAGAGAATTTGAAGATACATACTATCTATATAAAAAGTATGATTCATTATATAATTATATGCTTTATAACTGTGTGTGTATGTAATGTCATTCCCATGCCATCATAAGTTCTATGCACTTACACAGGTGGCAGTTCTGTGTTCAAAACTGTGCCAAATAGAGGGCAGTGATGTGCTGCGACAGTGAAGGGACAGAATGAGGTAGAGGTACAAAAGCAATAAAGGAAATGAAGTCAGGCCTGAAGGATCAAGATATGAGAAAATGAATTACCTGCTGCGTCTGAACAGGCTTTTCACAAGCTGATAAACAACAGAATGATGTGATACAGAAAAGTCTTAAGAATGAATGAAGATAAGATTCCAATGAATGTTCTGATAATCAAAGTATGGAAAGTGTCCAAGAGGAAGACCAAGATCAAGACTGAATCAGTACACTGAGAAAGTTGTCACATGAAAGGAAAGAAGGAATGAACAAACAAAATGGGGGTGGAACCCATATGAGGACCAACTTTAGGAAGACACACAGAGAGACATGTCTGGTTGCTGGATAAACCAAATAAGGAGGAAATATCAACAGAAGTGGCAGCTTGATGCCTGCTTCGTTTACTCTTCAACCCAGAGGATGGAAACAGTACAATCCTGCAAAATGGTGGTAATCTTCCACCAGAGTACACAGTGTCACATCCTTAACGGGATCAAATATTCTTAAAAAATTCTTCACTTAATTTCTGTATTGAAATATGACACAAAACACACCCCAAATTAGAGACTTAAGTTTCTAGCCCATATAAAACAATAAGTAGCAGTTTCACTCTTCTATTAGTCAATGCAAATAGAGTTTATCCTCCACTGCCTTCAGCACTGCTCTGAACAAGGCAGAGCAGCAGACTTCACTGGAAACATGTCCTGAACTGAGTACCCTTACCATCTGCCTGAAAATTACATCTGGATATGAAACTACAGCAGGGAATTCCCTCATCATTATTCTTATTGTTCTGTTACATCCTAACACAGACTCACTTTCTTGCAACATAATGCAAGAATCAATTTCAGCAGACATCTTGTTAACTCTGAAAATATCATGAATTCATTCTGACCCAAAAATAAAACCCTAATTCTCAATCTACTGTGTATACAACATAACTGCTCCATTTCTACCACAGATCTAATACAGAAATTTACCCTGCACTCTTGCCAATATATACAGCAAATGTTAAAATCTAGTGTAAGTATCGCAGTAGAGGTTGTGGATCAATCTGAATCCTCATTTCCAAGCTTTACTTTTTAATTATATGAATAAACTTTGCAATTTTTGCTACTTTGCATTGTAATATTAACAAGGAGAGCAGTAATAACCCACATGAAGAACTAGAACTTCTACTTGTATTCTCTAAATATATAACTGGCTGTCAGTCAACTAACGCACAAAATCACATTTGACATCAAGAATGTGTACAAACACTGGTATGAGAAGGCTGCACAGCACATCATTTGCAATGAATATGTCAAGTATACTCACTTGGAAATCTCATAGAGGAACCTGTCTGCTCTGGCAAGGCTGTCTATCTCATCACTATGTTCCTCTAGCAGAGCTGCTTCCTCTGCGCTCGGAATGAACTTGAGCAGCTGCTCAACCATGTCAATCGGCAGCTGGTCTTTGTTGTCCATGCTCAAAATTGCTCTAAAATCACATATGTGACTATCAGAACACAGCAGCTCGGTTATATTCAGTGGCAGGCTTTTGGGAACATGGAACGCCTGCTACTTCAAAGCATTTACAATGATATTACAGGATGAAGTCTTCTCAGGTGACCAGCCATATCAGTGTGGAGTTTAAGTCTGATGCTTCAGGGACTGTCTGCCTCCAGGGGTTAGTGTGATGAGTGCTGCATTCACATGCTATATTTATACATAGAGCTGTCACTCATTAAAGCTCAGGCTGCATAGGGAATGGCTAAAGTTAAGGCAGCCACTGAGACCTGGCTGCAACCTGGGAACTTTAGCAGAGATCCAAGTTCTCTCTAAGCCGTTCATGGCACCCAGCCCATCAACATGACAAATAAGGGACCTTAGGAAACACTGTAAGGAAGAACCAATGAACAGTAGATGAAAGGGGGTGAAAAGGACAGATACAGAAGTGCCAAAGACTTCATTTTGGTGGGGAAGGAAGAATATCATTTTCTTAGAAGGCTTTTCCTACTCATCCTTCTATTAAGAGCATTATGAAAGTGAAGACGCTGGGATGGTTAGAAGCAGTGGCTTTTCTTTTTTGAATTGCATTGTAGGGCTCTTGGTGTGGCTAGCTCGTAGACTGATGATGAACTGAAGTCAAACTGATGAACTGAATGATCCGGCGTTGGAGCTGCCCCATTTTTATATACTGCTCAGTGGGGCGGAGCGCAACTTGAAATTGAGGAGGAAGAATTAATTGGCTAGCGCGCGTAATGGTGAAGATGCGGGCTAGCAGCGAGCGCAGTATAAATACGAATGTTTGAAGCAATCTGATTGGTTAGCGCGCGTGATGGTGAAAAGTGATGTGAAGAGCGAGCATTGCAGAAATGCGTGATAATGTGGGATGTTCCCACAGCATAATCAGGAAAGAGAATTTGGGGGCCTTTATAGGAGAGGGGTTTAATTCTGAAGAATTCCAACCAGGAGGGCTGCATGAGAAGCACACAGTAGCAGCCTGGAACTTGGGCACCATCTCAACATTTGCTTGAAGACAAGGAAATCAAGAAAACCTTTGTCAGGTAACATTCCAGATAAATACTAATTTCTGGCTTGCAGCCAAGCAAACAAAATAATATAGCAAAGCTGGAAGATCATCTAAATAATGTTTAAAAATTCAGTGCTGACCTCACAGAAAACATTTTTTTTTCCATTACAAATACCAAGTGGCTAATGATGCTCACCATGACATTCAGATGAAATACAAAATATACTATGTGGACAAAAAGCAGAGTTGCTTAATGCACAGCAAATGGTACATATAATTACCATTGTGCTTCAAAGGGTTAAAATAAGACAGAAATGTGTTAGTTGGTAAGATAATCAAGATGGTAACCCTTACTTGGAAATATCCTCATCAGACATCTTCAACTTGGAGAGCAGAATTGTGCAATTCTGAGCCCTCCTTCCATCTATTACAGACAAAATCTTGGCTCGGATTTTCCCAATTTGCCGCAAATCTTCTATAGATCCATCATTCTGCAAAAGAGATTTGTAACAGATGTAATAATGACAGGTGTAACAATATTCCACACATATTGAAAGTATGTGACATATAATGACAGCCTCTGGGGTCTAGTGGTCAGAGTTCCTGGCTACAGATCCAGAGGTCCCGGGTTCGATTCCCGGAGCTACCAGATTTTCTGAGAAGTAGTGGGTCTGGAATGGGGTCCACTCAGCCTTGTGAGGTTAACTGAGGAGTTATTTCAAGGAAATATCAGCTCCAGTCTAGAAAACCGAAATTAATGGAAGTGGGGATCAATTGTGCAGACCACGTGATACCCTCTATCCACAAAAGTTGGCACTAACTTCGCTAACAAGTGGCGATCGCTCGGTCAGTATAGTTCGCTTGCAGAATACAGGCCATGGAGTTTTTGTTTTGTTTTTGTTTATGTGAACATATGATAAGCACTGTACCTTAACTGCAAGGCAATGCATCACTGACTCAAATTATCGATCTTCTATAAGGTATTGATACATATGTCAGATACTTTTAAGACCCAACAAATACAGAAGGAATATTTGGCAAGCGTGTCAAGACATGGGCTTTCCACTACGCAGGCCAATTGTATTCGCTAACACCAGTCTTATTCAACTTGCTGCAGAAACACTATAAAATACAGGTTAAGACCCAACAAATACAGAAGGAATATTTGGCAAGCGTGTCAAGACATGGGCTTTCCACTACGCAGGCCAATTGTATTCGCTAACACCAGTCTTATTCAACTTGCTGCAGAAACACTATAAAATACAGGTTACTGGTCTGCACATCAGATCTAGATTATGCATCTCATAGGATTAACTGTATCCATATAGAACACACAAACCACTATCTTGGTCACATTTTTGGAGCACTGAACACCTGAGCTAGGGTAGCTCAGTCAATTAATTTACTGGCTCAGAGCCAAATGGCCCGGGATCAATTCTTGACAGAGGTACAGCACGTCCACTCATCTCCATCTATTACTGACGTTAAGAACGCATGAAGCTATACCTCCACTCTCCCATACATTTTCATGTAGCGGAGCTTCATTAAGCAAAGGGACAATCTTACATTTACCGAATGCATTTTTCTGTGAATTTATCTTCAAACATTATTGGTACAGAAATTCGCTTAGTGGGGGATGGAGTCCAACTGGGTCCACTCGGTACAGTGGCCACTGATTGGCCTATTGTAACTGCACGGGCTGATTATGATTGATGGAATGAAGATTGGCAGGGGAAACCGAAGTACTCAGATAAAACCTGCCCCAGCGTCACTTTGTCCACCACAAATCCCACTTGACCAGACCCGGGATTGAACCCAGGCTGCCACAGTGGGAAGCCAGCAACTAACCACTTGAGCTATGGTGCGGCCCATTGGTACAGAAAACGTCTGCCGCCTCATACTTTTTCCCACAATATTTTGCCTAATGAAATGGGTTCACAGGCACTGTGTTTTGTCATACTTACTGCAACACCATTCTTCTGGTAGGCACAGAAGAGCCTGTCAATACTCTCCAGTTCCATGGAAATGTAGTGCTTCGTGTCATCCAGTTCTGACCATATTGTGCCTGTAACCTTGGCGTCAGGCAGTTTGGACCAGTTGAAAGACTTCAGGGGGTTTGAAGGTTGTGGCACATTCTTCTTAGGCACTTCGGGCCGGTTGCATGCAGAGACTTGGGCTGACGG